TGCTGGTTGTACTTAATCATGTTTGATAAAAAATTGTAACCCACCTTGTAATTAAATAATTCTTGTATTATGTTTTAAATAATATTTAAAAATTCACATTTTAAGCATTTTTTGTTTTTTAATTATTATTTAATTAGCTATCTTGTTTTAATCAAGTAAGAAACGGTATCATCAGAAGCTGATGTTATTTTCATAGACAAAACGTAGTAAAATGGTAAAGTTTAATATATCGTTGTATTTAGCTATACTAAAGCTATAAAAAGTTACAGTTAAAAATCCAGGTCCGCATTTAAAAAAATAAGTTGAAGGTGGCCCTGGAAATACGAAACGTCGTAATAAAAATTTTGACATGGCAGATTATAGGGAACTTGATTTATAACAAAAACTTCGTATAATTTTTTTTTGTATCTTTTATAATAACAACGCACGACTTAAAAAACGAAAATGAGGTTTTTCGGATTTTGTCGAATATCTCCGGAACCAGTCAGAAAATCTGGAACTTCTATGGACCATTGTAGTATCCGTTAAAATACGAAACTTTTTTCCCATTTAACCGACAATGTATATCTTACGGTTTACGAGATCTCTGTATACGCAAATTAAATCCGGTCCACCCTGTATACCGCTTTTTATAAAAAAAAAAAACGTTTCAGACGAAAGTTTTATAGTTTTGTGGGGAACAACTTTTGGCTAAAATCGTTTTTCATAGCTAACCATAATAGGGCTAACTTTTTTTTCGCACAGCAACATTTTCAAGTAGCTGTTACTCAAAAAGTAAAAGTCCAATAAAAAAAATATTTCCCTTAAAAGTTTCTTATTTTTTTATGTACTTTAAGAATATGTAAGAAAAAAATGGGATTCCCATTTAAAAAAACAAAGTTCACCTCGATATGGCCATATTATGATCAGCTATAAAAAAATGAATTTAGCCAAAATGTTTCCCCCAAAAAACCATAAAACTTTTGTCTGAAACTTTTTTTTCTAAAATGCATATTTTCAGCGGTATTTAACTGTAACACTTTAATTTGAACACCCGGTATAAATAAGCGACAGATATAATAGTAATAAAATAAAATACGAATCAAATAATCATAATGAAAATTAAGATTAGCGACAGTTATAATGATAATAGTAAAAAAATAGGACACAAATGCAAATAATAATTAACATTAGCGACACTTATAATGATATAGATAATAAAATTAAACACAAATGTAAATTGTAATTAAAATTGGACTTAGTGAAATGATAAAAACTCTTCAAGGGTATATGGATTAACATGTTTTATGTATTTTTTTAAGATTTTTTTTAAAACTGTTGATGTTTGAGCATTTTTTAACATAATCTGGAATTAAATTGTACAACATACATCCATTAAAAAATGCCCCTTTTTGATATAGAGCAGTATTGTGTTGATTAGACTGTAGTGAATTTTTATATCGACATATATATTTTAATAGAGATAATATGGATTGGATTAGTTACGGTTGTGTTAAATAATTTAAAAGTATTCGAATACCGAAAATAGTATCCGGTATCCTGATACTTACAAAGTTGGTCACGGATACGGATACCGGATACAAAATTTGAAAAGTGTCCGGATACAGCTTTCGGATACACATAAAGTATCCGGATACAGAAGTATCCGGATACTTCCCAACTCTGCTTCTTGGCTAGTGAATGAGTAAGACGGTTATCTTTTGATATGGCGTGACCTTTGGTTCATCTTAAAGTGGCCATATTGTTGAAGGATAGTTGAGCCAAAGCTTCGTAACATTGAATGAATGAATCTTTATTAATATAGGAATATATCCTAATATAAAACACAATACAATAGTAAAAAAATAATTAAATGTTTACAATTTAAAACTTTTTTACTGCTAAAGTGAAACATAAATATAAAATATACATGAAACATTAATATAAAATATATTACATAGTAGCTTTAGATAAAAATTATGTAATTATTAACCTAAGTATTTTTCATCATTTATTTTTGTTTGTAATATATTTAATTCTTTTTTAAATTGTCATAAATTCTCACTATTTCGATTATTTGTTGCTAATTTATTATATTGTCCTTTGTACAGCAATATTTTCATTGACCTGGATAAATTACATCTTGGTAAAACAAAATTGTCAGACTGAATTTCCTCGGTAAACAATAAATTCATTAAAATAGGATGGGAGCAATTGTTTTGAAATTTAAAAACATAATATCATTCCTGCCCTATACAGTCTATGGCCTATGGAAAATCACTGTAGTACATTAAGCATAAATGATGTACTTGTATATCGATTGCATTTTAGGATAACTCTCATGCAACTTTTGTAATGCTAGTATTTTATTTTGGTCTAAACTATAGAGTTACAGTAGTCGAAATGCGGTTGTAAAACTATTGTAGATGGTAACCTTAGCCCCCGTTAATAAATAATTTGAAATACGTGTAAGAAAATATTTTGTTCTTTCTTCTTATGTAATTAAAATGATCATTGAAGGACAGCCTACTGTCCAACAACCCTAGATATTTGAAATTGGCCACAACTTCAATTTTTTCATTATTAATGGCCAAAACTACAGTGTTAAAATCTAATTGTTTGTAATTATAAGTTGTTAAGATCATGGCTTTGGTTTCTGTTAATTGTAGCTTATTAATGTTGAAATAGTTTTGAAGTTGGTTTAGGGAAGAATTTATCATGGTTATGGCAACATCCAAGTTTTTATGCGCCACAGACAACAGTGTATCATCTGCGAACAAGTTGATAGTAGGTACTATCTCTGAGTAAATTTATGGTCTGTCAAGGGTGAGTAGTACCCTGTCTGCTATCTGTATAGATGAGCATCTTCCTTCCAGTGATATTGTTTGGTTATTTCTTTTGCTGCTATGAGAATACCCGTTAGGTCTGTTTGAACTACACTGGCACTATTGCTCACATCCCATTTTATGTTTAGGTTTAAGGATCTGGAGTATATTCCACATCCTGAGCCTTGTTTTGTTTTAGAACCCTCAGTGTAGAATGAATCGCACCTGCCATTTCCAGCTCTTCTATTTGCTTCTAACTTTATATGGCTTATAGAAGATACATCTCGGTGAGATGGAGTCCATGTTCCTTCTGCCTTCTGCTAAAAGCGACGTCTCGCCTCACCAGAGTCTACATTAGGTCTATTCCAACTGTGCGGAGGCGTGTCTTGGTCATCAGAGCAACCTCCTTGACGTAATTATCAAGGGGAGTGAGACGAAGAATGACTTCCATGGATCCTGTTATAGTGAGACATGCTGTTCTTTGAATTTGTTCTAGTTTATGGATAGCCGTCAATTTTTGGGTTTTCGGAACATAGACAAGTACATCATATGCTAGCATAGGTCTTATGGTGGATGTGTAAGTCCATGCGATGACTCTGGGGGAGAGACCCCAGGTGCGCCTGGTTAGACGCCATTGTTCATAAGCAATGTATGCTTTTTTTATTGTTTTCTAGGTGTGAGTTCTACGTTAACTTGTTGTCAAAGGAGAGACCTAGGTACTTCCCTTCTGTTGCAAAGTTTAGTTTTGTGTTTAAGTCTGGAGGTTTTAATTCCATTTTCATTCTTTTCCTCTATAAAAGGCATCTCTGTGTTTTTGGCATTGATAGACGGTGAATGGTCCTTGAACCATTTTTGTATAATTTTAAGAGCTACTAGTATTCTTTCGCAGAGTCTGTTCTCAAAATTTCTTATTTGTAGAAGGACCAGGTCATCTGCATATGCTCTTATGTAGTGACTATCATTATTGAGGCGGCTCATGAGGGTGTCGCGCGAGGACCATGTTCCACAGCAGAGGTGATAATACCCCTCCCTTATGTTTGCTGTTCGGTGTGAGAGCATGTTATGTATCCACCCACTAACCATCTGTTGGTTGGTAAGTGAATTATTAAAAGCACCTTCTTTCTATGTCTATGAAAACACCCAAGGCAGACTCTTTATTGTCCGGGGATCTCTATCCGAACAGCAACTAGGTAGCTGGGTAACCTAGGCGGTTATGAAATAAATCCATATGTACCTCCTGGAAACTTTGTGTTACCAAGGGTTTATGAGATAGCGATACATTTCAGTTAAAAAGTGACCACTCTATATACCAAGATATAAAACTTTTCTGAACGGTTATAAAAATAGTACAAAATAAATAGCAAAAGGTTTGATGGATTTGCCTAGGTGAAGGGGTTATAATAGGTTTGTTCCAACAGCGAATCTTATCATCAGAAGGACGTCAGACGCATTGAAAATAGTCTGTTCCTACAAAGCCACGGACAATCCGATGAACTGTCAGTGAAACGTTCCAACGTATTTTCTGATTCGTACATGAATGAGTCGGCGGATTGTCAAAATGATCAGAGGTTCATCGCTTGTACAATTTATCAGCACATGCGCATTTGAACGTCTCTTCTCGTTCGTGCTATTTGTTTGTAATTGTTTGGATTTTAAGTTAGCTTTGAGTGGCTTGGGCTTCTATTTCTTTCAATTGAAATTGAAATAAATAATTTTTGTTTTTATCTTGTGTACGGTGTTTTTATGTGAAATACGTTCTTATTTTAATAAAATTAAACATTTTAAGGTTTCAAAATTATACATTCATATAGAGCGTTCGAGACAGCTAAATAAATGATTTTGTTGTATTTTAAATAATGTTTAAAATACCAATTCACCAAACATGTGTTTGATTTGTCCAATTCCATTGCATTTTGCGTTCCAAAAAGTACAAATCGCTAATTAAATAACCGACGAATAAACGGACTGACATGCGCAGTGATTAGTTTACGAATGCATCCATGCACGAGTCAGATACACATCAGAAAGGAGCTGTTGGAACAAACCTATTATAATAATCAATTTCATGGATGGGTAGATTACATCAAACATTCTGCTCATACTATTTAAAATTTGAATTCTTTATTATATATTTTTCAATTTCATAACAAACATTTTGTCTTTTCCTGTTATTTATTATGAAAATTTCTATTGTAGGTGTACACAGTGAGTGCCGGAGTGTGTGAAAAAAAGCAAGAAGAAAGCATAAAGTTTGATGAAAAATACAATCCATTGATTGAAAAACAACCTCTTCATTTTAGTTTGGATAGTACAAAAGATAGTATATATTGTGATATAAAAAACAGATATTTTACAGAAGTAACATCTGTATTAAGTAATTTGACTAAAGAACTCAGGACTGAAAAAATGAATTCGAAAGAAATGGCTTTAGATGAAATAAAGCATTATGTTCAAACTCAACTTCAGACCACTAAAATTAAGAAAAAATGCATTACAAACCATCTACTTGCCGCAGAAAGTATTATAAACCTTTTAGGTCATAGATATGAAAATCAAAAAGAAATAGAGCAAAACATAGTTAGAAACAACGAAAAAAGTACCAATTTAAATTTTCTAGAAGAACTTTTGAACATCGAAAATGATAAATATATAACTCTAAGGCTGTTTTGTTTATTAACACATTTCCAATCATTAACAGAGAGTGAAATAAGATCTTTTTGGTTAAAGTTTTTACATCAATTTGGGTTTAAGTATGGATTTGCTTTCCAAAATTTAATTTCAACAGGATTTATACCGGAACCTGTTCAGAATACCAGCAGTTTAAACTTACAAGCAAAGTTAAAAATTCCAAAGTTTACTTCAAGCAACAGCCACGTTAATGCAAAAAATTTAAAACAAATACCTGCAGATCCATCTAAAGTAAATCTAAAATTTCCTACATGTGCAAGTTATGTGTTTGGTGGTAATTACATACCTTTAATTACTCAAATAGCTGGTATGTTACTTAATTCAATCCCCATAGAAGAAATCAGAACCAAACTTGAAGCTTTGGGTACATTATCGATAAGAAACGAAAAGGGGTATCCCCTTCAAAACAGAACTGTATTGATATATGTCTTAGGCGGCGTTACTTATGCAGAAATGGCTGCTTGTAACTTGTTGGAAACCTTAACTGGAGCCCAAATAATTATTTTAAGTGATAATGTTATAACTGGAAATGATTTAATGAAAGGAATTTTGGACTATCCCAAGTAATTATAATTGTATTGAACAATAATTCAATTATAAGGGAATACAGTAAATGTGGAAAATAGTTTGGCCTATGAAGAACTAAAAATAAAAATGGCGTAGAGAATGGGTTGGAAGTCAGCTAAATCAGCGCTAAAAAAACACCAGCAATCAACCTTTTTGATCTGCCCATAGACAAAAATGTTTTTTACTTGGAATTTTATTTAAAAGTTTAATCATGTTATTTTTGTTCCTTTTGATTTGGAAATTAAAATGTATTGCAAATTTTTGGACATATGTACATTTACCTTGTAATTTTAATTTTAAAATAATTGTTTAAAGCTAAATGACGAGAGAATTTGTTTACCAATGGAGTATCAAGTACATGTCACTTGGGAGGTGTTTATATCATAACCACAGAAGAAAGAACAATACTTTATCCTGTGTCATAACTTATTAAGAAAACTATAACTACCTATTTATTGAAGTAGGTATGCCATGTACATTTGCTTTAAAATGTAAAACCTTCACATCAAAAAAGATCTAGAAATGCAAAATATTTATTTCTGATCATTTTATTTGTCAAAAGTTTCAATAGACATCTTGCAGTTGGTATTTACATCAATTATTAATCTCAGATTCAACACAAAATACATGTATATTGTTCATCATCGAGTTATCAAAATTGTTTTTTTTTTCTTCACTGTGAATAATGATTTATTATCATAGAAATTAAAATGTTTGTTAATTACGGAATATTCCTGTCAGACTTTTAATATCTTCTTAATGGTTAAAATAATCTAACATTAAATTAAATAATAAACACATCACAACTACAGTGGTTATTCCTACTTTCTATCTTTTGTAGCCGTTATTTCTATAGCCCAGTCCATCAATATAGGTTCATTTCAGCGATGTATGCAAAGATAATTAATTGGGCCACTGTAATCCCAAACAGAGTTAGGTCTCCAAAATTAATGCATTACCTTATTAAATAAGAGACCATAAGTTTAAAGACATTTTTTTCTGTACCGTTGATTGGATCAATCATCCTTTTTTCACATAGGTTAGTTTTCAATATTTCCTGAGAAATGTCAACGTTTTACCGTTATTTGAAGATATATTCGTACAACGGTTTTACCTATATACGAGGTATAAAAGCAAAGTTGTTTTTCTTATTTTGAAACAAGAAAGAATCTCTACATCTGATTAACATTGTACCATAGCTTTAAGGAATCGTTTTGATATCTCTATTATCAAAGAAGATACGTAAGTCCAAAGCAAAGTGACTTTATTGAAATGTGATAGGTACTAACTAATGGAATGACAATTCTGTCAAACTAATTGTGAGTATTTTTTTTTTTTAGTTATTTAGATTAAACATACATTAAAATGGGTTATTCTTATGCAGAATCGATAAATAATAACATTTCTGTTTTTATTTCGTCTATTATTATAAACATTCAATAAACCTAGGCTCTCTGGCCAAGATCTTCCAAGCAGAAATGATTGCTATAGAATTGGGAGCGAGAGAGTTGATTAATTTTCTCCCCGCCACTGATCTGTATTATTTTACTGGATAGGATATAGGCTATATTTAACATACTAAAAATCCGTTCCACCAAGGAGACCGGAAGTGCATCACTGCTGGCCGATTTGGGCAAATTATGGTGGGATCACATAACTGAATTTTGGGATAATTTGACATACCTAACCTATAATTTGATTAGTTTTTCTTCTTATTCTTCTACTATTCCTTTTGCGGGCAATCGTCCTTCGGGACAATTCACCCATAATTTGATTTTTTTATGAAAGAAAATATAAAAATGGAAACGTGAAGCATATTTTGTCTTCACGAATGAACGTTTATTGTTTATATCATAGTAATGCTATTCGATACTACCTAAATAAATAAAAAAAACATATCATCGTAACTTGTTGACACAATTAAATGACAAATGTGATGACAAATGGAAATAGAGGTTATGTTAAATAACATCCGGTCCGCCATATTATTTTCCCAAATCGGCCAATTTTTCGGAACGTTTTTTAGAGGGCTATATCCTATCCAGTAAAATAATACAGATCAGTGCTCCCCGCAAACAAGACTATAAAGATCTTTTCAGATAGCCAGGCAGCCCTTAAGGCCCTGAGCTCCAATCGAGTCGACTCAAAGCTGGTTTGGAACTGTATAAATACCCTAGCGAGTGCCTCGGTGCCCGGAACAAAGTTACTTTGATCTGGGTTCCGGGACACAGTGGTGTGGAGGGCAACGAAAAAGCCGACGCACTTGCTAAAAGAGGAACCGAATCTGTATTCATAGGACCAGAACCATTCCTGGGCATTGCAAAAAGCACTGCCAAAGGAATTATCTCAAAATGGACGGAGGGTGCAACACTCACGAACTGGAGAGATACCCCAGGGCTAACCCATTCCGAAGGCGTTTATAACCAACCCTTCTATGAACGCCTCTGCTCCGAGAATGGAGTAGGAATGATCTACGCATTTTCACTGGACTGATGACAGGATACTGCCGTCTGGGCAACCACATGAGAAGGATAGGTCTGCAACAAACATGGGAGAGTCGATTCTGCAGCGTGGAGGAAGAGTCTGCAGAGCACATTTTATGTACCTGCTCCGCTCTGGAAAGACAAGTTCCAGATCTTCGGATTTACCCGACTGGGGCCTACCGACTTTAAAGAAGTCTCATCCAATTCAACCATGACCTTTATCAAAAGGTGTGGCTTGTACGGTGAACTATAAGTTAGTCATGAGCCACAATAGACCCATCTGGGTCGCAGTGGAAGGCGATGAGATCATCCCACTCATTTTCAACCTAAACTAGATTAAACATACATTAAAATGGGTTATTCTTATGCAGAATCGATAAATAATAACATTTCTGTTTTTATTTCGTCTATTATTATAAATAATTTGTTAATTTAAATAAAACTATATAAAGTCAATTTAATTAAGAATATTAAAGCAACAAAAATAAAAGAATAGGTGGTCCTGTAGTCAGCGTTCTTGCCTTCCACGCGGAAGTCTGGAGTTCGATTCTCGGATGGGGATGGCAGGGTTAATTTTTTTTCTAAACTCCCTTTTTATATTACTCCAAATTAATTATATTGCATTAAATGTACAGTAATATGGTGGTAAGCGTATTACGGTATGACTGAATGCCGTAGCCATCTCATCCACAACGTAGCTAGGTTTGAGATTTAAGCCTTTCAATATTACAATCAAATCTTTTTTAAAGATGTAGGTGGATATGATACACCCATTCTGTCCAAAAACACGGAAATTACCTTTTTTCGAGCTTTTGCATTTGGAATTTCACTAGTTTGACGAGATTGGTAGGGAGCATTATCCATTACTATTATAACATTTGGTGGCAAATTAGGAATTAATTGTTCACCAACCCATTTCTCGAACAACGTAGATGTCATACCTTGGTGATAATCTGCTGAACAAAACAAAATATTCTTTGCTGATAATAGCAAGCAATTTGGCACAAAACCGTTGAAATCCGACAACCGGGGGTTGATAATTAATTTATTTCCGAGAGGGATATTATAAGCTTATATCGTCATAGTTACGCTATCAATAAAGAGGGTCATAACTCCCTTGGGACATTATAGATTCCATAATTCCCTCTACTTTATAATCAACGGTACCTGATTCAAATATACCGGGAAGGTAATAAATTGGTAAATTTTTTCCGTTTTAAAAATGAACAAAATTTTATTGAAATCTGTCAGAAATAAAATTATCTATGTACCACGGGAATTAATGGGCCTTAATAACCTCGGGCTATTGCTGTCCCTCGGGCCAGAGGCCCTCGGGACGCAAACTTTGCCATCGGTAATTAAGGCCCTTATAATTCCCTTGATACATAAATAACTATCAAACAATTATTATATATTCAAATTTTTATTTCGAATTCAAACAACACCCCAGCATCTCCCGACTCGTAGGCGCCGTTTAATTACTTCTGAGAAAAGGAATCGACGTGTAAACGTTACAGTTTACACGTCGCTAGAAAAAAAACAGATGTAAAACGTTAGGGCTATATTCAGGAATTAATACAGGGCTTTAAGGTCTTTATGTACCGAATTCACAGTCGTTCTCTTTCCGGTACATTTGCATATATAGGAAATTTAGGTATAAATACCACGGTTTTTGTGGGCTGGGGGATTAGCTTTTTCATCTTCACCGAGTCAAGTTAACCAAAAACGCAAATATCCACGTTACCGCTACGGTGACTCATTTTTCTTTATATTCAAATATAATTAAAAAGAGATATCGCTACCCTTACGGTGGCCGCGCTTTTGTTATATTTTGAGAACGGAAATAAAAGATATCGACGGAGTAGAGAAATTATAGTTTCTATAAACCACGGCTTCTGCATAGATATCCAGTTGTCCTTAGGATGACCACCTTTTTCTTATATTTTATATATATAGTAAAAGGAGATATATAGTCAGATTGACCAAGCAGTTACACGTTGAATAGAACCAGATTTCGCTTCTAGAACTGTTTTGTAAGGTTGTATCTACCGAGCGACTAAAATATTGGAGTAACTTATACTGGTGAGACCACACTAGTATAGTTAAACGCCAGATATTTTGTATCTCCGATTCAACATTATAAAGTGTTACTAAATGATTAAAGGTACTATTTTAGGCGACGTTCGTAGTGGATTTCGTCACCCCTAAAGTTGACCCGACGAACGCGCGCCGGATAGTCGCTTTTGTCAGCGGTATCCTTTTGTTTCTGTAAGGTTTCTTGTACGTATTATATAGCCCTAATCGTATTCTTTCATAGATAGTGCGATTATCATTTTAATCTCGAGAACGCTGTTTTGGAACTGGATTCTCGAACAGCGGTTTTCAACTTATCCCCATAAACCAGTCTTAAAAACAGTCAACTAGTATAAAATCATAATGTATTCGGGTGGGGAAATCTATCCCCATGGATGTGTTACAGGTATCATTTTATTATTAATTTTATTCATTAGCGGGAGAAATTTGCATCTGTTTGGAATACGTCTCATTTTATTACTAATTTTATTCATTAGAGGGAAAAATTCGCGCCTGGGTGTTCTTTTCATATTTTGATAGACGGTTATTGTGGTAAAAGTTATAGGGTTTTATATTGCGCTAAATTATACTATTTAGAAAATCGATAGTAATGCTGTTGTTATAAATATTAATTGTCGTAAAATCGGTCACCACTCAAGTAATAAATTAAGGCATTTAAATTTATGGCCTAAAGGCTGAATTGTAAAGTTTTGGATTATCTTTAAACAGTACCTGCCCTTTTGAAGTCAAAAAGAAACGCACTTTTGGTTTTAGTTTTAAATGGCAAACAGATGTAGATCAGTAGGGTAAAAACATTGATTTGTGTATATTTTAAAGTTAAATTGAGTTAAAAATATGTTTTCTGTGGTGCTTTGAAAAACAAATTAGGTAGCTGGATATGTGTCATTTTTAGCCGGTAGGAGAGGTAGGTTTGTATTTAGATTTTTCGGAAATAGTGAATATGTACAGCGGCGGGTAGAATATTAAATATTAAGAAGGGTCGGTTTTATTTGTACATATTCACACACCTTTAGCGGGACATCACGCAGAAGTAATCGGTATATTTGTTAGGTAATTCAGAATAAGCAGGTGAAATTGTGTTTGAGGACTACCTAACGCAGCGATACTCAACCTTTTTTTCTTTCGGGCCATATTCGTATATGTGATATGTTACACGGGCCGCAATATTTTTGGATGATGACCTTTTTTTAGGACATCTATCTAAAATCTATCTAAAACATAAATATATCCCGTTGTTACTGCAAAAACATGATAACTCACATTTTTAGAGTTTCGATAAAACACTATTTAAACGTTTAAAACTGAATAAAAAATCAGTAAAAGCTTCAAACCGTTTATTAACTTCAATGAAGAAGGTATTGAAAACATTGTTCACAAAGTATAAACTAATAATCTATCAATAATTGGTAAAAAAAAAGAAAAAAACGTCACTTAGCTTATTTTAGCTCTACATACAAAACATAATTCATAATTCAAAAAGTTTCAGTAACATTGGATACAGGTAGATTGTGATAATAATGGTGAAATTCATCAGGTATATTGATTGTGCAAAATTTTAGTAAATCTTTCTTTCACTTTTTTTGTAAGTATTTTCAAAACTTTGTTTCATCCTTTCATGCATCCCTCTGAATAAATACTGTGCGAGTTTGGCATATAAAGCCGAATTCCCCAACCTCGCCCATTGATAAATTAAATCTATTTTTTTGGTGGAATGTATTTAGGATAGCTGAATCTTTCGATAACTTGTCTATTAGAAAGTATGGTTAAAATTCATATTAGCCTGTTACCACTAATACTTTTATTCACGAATTTTCACACAAAGATTCGCTCGTTACGACTTGACGAATCACTCGTTACAGCTTGACCAATCACCCGTTACATCATGTGTTATTATCTAGTGGTTGTTTAAGGTTAGCTGTATTGCGGAAAGAAAGGGTGACGTAATCATCTCGTGGATTTCGAAACAATCGAGAAAGGCCAGAGAGGGCTCTATTCATAACAAAACAAATGGCGTGGGCACAATGTTGTAATATTTCAACAAAAATAAGTAGCGGCAAACCACTCCCGATATACTCCCGTTTTTGCAGTAACCTCACAAAATTCCAAACGTTTATTTAAAAATGACCATGCTATTTAGCGCTGCGACCAATAATAGTGTTGCGGGCCACAAAAAAAGCTTGGAGGGCCGCAGGTTGAGTATGACTGACCTAATGTATCCTCAGGACTGTGATTGATATTTTTTCTAACAATCGACAGAGCAAAAGAGCGCAGCGCCGAAAAAGAGCTGTGGGCCACCATAGGCCGCCAGGGACCTCAATAGTAAGGGCCTTAAAAATTGTAATTCCCATGCGGCCATGTAAATCAAAGCCTGATAGAGGCAGGATGGATCTCTAAATGAGATACCCCAAAAGTGGGCCTGACGGGCATCCCCCTTTATATCAGGTGTTCTGCAATCGACCGTTTAGTGTTTTCCATACAGGACTATGTCAGTACATTACGGCATTGGAATATTAGAGGAAGGCGTGACGCACGGTGAGGTAAATCTACACTCCGGTTTTTACACATATTACAAATATTATTTTATATCACACAGAACTCCTCGTGCTACCGCTGTACTCTATTTTATTAGACAATCCGTAATTCCGTAAGTACTGAAAACTTTTATTTCACCCTTTATGGGAACACAAAAAACTGCGGTTAGAAATGACACATTGGAAAGTATACTTAAGAAAAATGTTAAGCCTAAAAACGACACAACCTAAACTTCCTGCTGTACAAAAAAATAAGGTGTTAAACAATAAATTATCGTAACTCATCTGTGTTTACTTTATTCTTCCCCATTACAGGTACATTGAACTCTAAACGTAATTCTGGGGTTTATTAACATCACTGCGTGGGGATCTACTAGACGAGATTTAGGCCAAGGTTAAAAGTATTTGTAAAACTAGGTTAGGGCCCGGTTTGTCAAGTCACACCGTTTTCATTACTGGCATGTAATATAATACGTTTTCCTCTATTTGGAGGAGCATTTACAGAACATTTAGCAGATTGATCACCCCATCCTTTTTTAACAATATCATGTGTCGTATCAAGTCTCATCAATATACACTATGAATCTATCTTGCCGACGAGCTTCCTCTATGGTAGGGTATTCATTACGTAAAATCATAATTCTTTGAGATTCCATAATATGCTGTCTTCTATTTAAGGAACGATATCCCCAAAGAATGGAGCACTTTTCTAGTAGTTTTATCAGAGTTGTAAGGGAAACCGGGAACGAACTTGATTTCATTTTTAATCATTTAAAAAGATGGCACAGTAGTATTAAAATAAAAAATATCAACGTATTTTTAATCATGCAGTGACCTAGCTTCAAACTTATGGTATATTTAAGGTGGTGCGTTAATTTTGGAGGGTAGTACTATATCCGTGTTATATTATTGTCATAAGGCAAAGTAATGACTATACCCTAGCGACTTCTTTTTTTAATTGAATTGAGACATAATATAGTGATTTTTGTTGAGCATCTTCTAACAGAAGTTGCATTTTTCTTCAATTTGTGGTGACCCTTTATAGTTAGTTGACTTATTGTTTAATATACTAGAATTGTTAAGTATTGCCAAAAAGGAGATGTCTTATGTCATGATGTCACTTGAGAGATTTTTTTCGTAATTCGTATTTTGGAATCGTTTTGATATAAAAAGCAACTTTTTATCAAATGTTTTACACATGAACCGTCAAGATTCAGTGTCATCTTCGGTAACCAGAAATGAAAGACGAAGCCCTTTAGAAAATATAACAATTTTATTAATCATAAAAAGTATATATCCTACTGTGATATTAACATAATGTTATATTCTTACCTTAGTCAGACAAGAATAATTACAATCTAAAAAGATTTTACAAAATAAATAGACGACATAAATAAAGATACCTAAAAATCATATACAATAAGATAAAAAGTAGTAAATACAAATAATACCATTTTGTAAAAAAAAATAAATTGAGAATAGTAAATTTTTAAAAATCATACATGGTGCCTAAATTATATTTAACTTCTTATAAAATTAAGTTATTTTTTTTTTTAAATAATGTTGGGTATAATAAAGATTGGCTCTCCTCATAGAATGATGAAAATTAGATTTTCTTAAGTCTAGATTTGATTATTACACACAATAACAGTAAATATTTGGATCAGATTTATAAATGTATAAAAGAAAATCTTCCACTATACACTGCTCAAAGATTTTAGAGAAACTTTTTAAATGCCACCAGTAAACAAACTTATTGGACAGTACGACAAGATTAAGATGGCAAGTCAGAATTAGATGCGCACTGGCAAATCTAAAAATGCGCATTTAATTCTGACTTGCCAGCTCAATCTTGTCGTACTGTTATAAGAGTCATTATAAAGATTTACGCCCAAGAGGAATCTTATTCTGAACATTATACCATGTTAAAACTGCTAGATATGGTTAGGGTTCAAATTTTTTCAAGACCATGTAGGTGGCCTCCAGAATATATTTGAGATTAAGGGGTGGGTACGGAGGAGCACAAACCTCCCTCCCGTTTGGGGTCGTTTGTGTGAACATGCTCCCAAAGGCATTAAAAACACATTATGCTATATTGAAAATCAATTAATTTTGCACGTATTTTTTGTATTTCCTAACTCTACATAGCACCGAGCAAGTTCTACAGAACAATTAACCATATTGTACTATGCTCATGCAAGGCATACCTTAAAGATTATAAGCAGCCATTCATTTTCTAGTCTCACATTATCAGTGAACCTATCAACAGCTTTATATTTGCTTTGCACTTTGTTTCTTGTGTTGATTGTGTAAAATTTGTTTGGTTTTTGATAAATTATTGAATTGTTTTTTTCAGTTTTAATATTCGTATTCCAGTAATATTTAAAAAGTTATTGAGATACAATCGTTGCTCTAAGTATGTTGAGCAGTGTACATGCTTTACTTTTTTACTAATTGGTGCCAAGTTCAAAAGAATAGAAATGTCTTTATTGTTACATTTATATTTTCTTTTCTGGAATATACATAAAACAGTTTGTTTTCAGTACCCTATTACTAAATAAAGCATTTTTTAGTATGTTTTGGTATAGAGAGCATTATTGATTTTCGTGTATTCACGAATATTAAGATGCATGATTTTATTTAATTAAATGATAACCCATTATTTTTTCACTTATTAAAAATACAATTTTTATGATTTCATGAAGTTATAGAACCTAGTTTGCTAGTTTTTTTTTTGTTATATAGGTTAAAAAAACAATAGGTGGGCTTTAAAGGAAGTAGAGAGACAGCTCAAAGAATATTCAAACTTATTCGGACATAAATAGAAATACAAAAGATGTATTAAATATTATTTTTTATAAATATTTTAAATAATAAACCACAAAAAAGTTGGCTTAAAAACTATAAAACTTGGAAGCATTTTCGAATAGCTCAATTTATTAATCAATTGTAATGTGTGAGCACCCATATCCAGACTTTCATTATATACAATAAAATAATAATCTTTTAAAGAATTGTTTATAAAAATAAATGCCACATAATGAATAATTAACATGACAGTCCAATTATTTATTTTTTTTTCATTTTTATTACATATTTGATTAACAATTTTATGAAAATGAATGTTCATTGTAATAAAATCATCTTAATTGTAAATGAAGAAAGCACTGCTAAAAATACAGAAAAACATTTCAAAATGTGTAAATAAAATTTCAATTTCAATTGAATGTTACAAGCATTTTACAACTGAAAATTTGTGAAATATATTGTAACAACTAACTACACTGCCCGTCTTTTGAAACGGAGGATATTGTGAATTTCGCAAATTATATTACCTAAAAAGATATTTTAAATTTGTTTTCTTAAAAACAAGGAAAGGTATTCTTTTTGAAGTTAGAGGGCAGCATTTGCAGTTTTTACTTATTTTTAATACATTTTTTTTAATTATTTGTTAATTTTGTTATGTTGGTGTTTGTGTTTATGGAACAATTTTGAATTGTCTACTTCAAAATAACGGACAGTGTATTAAATCATATTGTTACAAAAATTGGACATGTCATATTTACAACTATATCTTTAAAATAGACACCAATGTACCAGGGTTAAAATTTGTACCAATTATATATCTAATAAGATGCAATTTCAACACGAAAATATAAGCAACAATTTTTTTCTGTACAAATAAATAATATGTGCTCATTAATAAAAAACTTATTAACAATACTATGACTAGTTATTAAAATTACCAAGTGAGATAAAACAGAACAACGTACAGGACGTGCACCAATATTAAATAAAAACTTAATTATAGATGGGAAGAAATCATTAAAAAAACCGGGATGTTAAATATTACAATAATTGCTAAAACGAGTTTTGTAAAATATTCAATAATCTTCAAAACATTCAATTGCAGATCAATATCTGCAAACATAATAGAAAATATCTAAAAATATCACCCATTTCATTCAATAACTGATTGAAACATTTAACTATTATTTACTAGTAGCATTGTCGGTCGGTTTTTTCCTCCGACGTCCTCCTTCTAGCAAGTACGAAATGTCACAGACCTGCTTTGTAGGCATTTTGCTTAAGAGATTCAGTAATATTCGATTTAGTCGGGATTTCTGCTCCGCTGGAGTCTGTAATAAAAGGTCAATATTAATATGCATTAGTGATGGGTCGCTTTGAAAAGTTCACGGACAAGTCCGACGGACTAGTCTGAAAAGTCGATTAGTCCAAACACATTTCAAAAGTGGAAAAGTGTATTGTGCATGCGCGAAATAAAATTAAATAATATGTCTGAATTTCTTACAAAGACAAAATTCAGTTTAAAAAAGAAGAAACGACAAATGTTTACTGACTTTTATAATGGGTATGAAGACTAGAGACTAGGCGAATCGGCATACTCAAAATAGGGTCTCAAAAAACGCACGCTAATTGAGCTTTTTTAATTAACCGCATGGGCGCTGGTACTGCTTACGGTGGCTTTTTATGGGAATTATACATAATTTTGTTAAAATAATTAAAATAAACTTGTTTATAGCTAAATAACGCACATAACATAGTTGTATTTATTTCTAAATAAGTCTTGCATGTTTTAATTAATAAATTATTTAATTTTATCTATATAAAATACAAATTAGGTAGGTATGACCAAATTCAAAAAGGTTTGTTAAATGCTGAAGTACAATTTTGTGGCAATTTTTTTTTTAATTTTACCTATATATAGTTTTAAGCGCAAAATAAAACACAGTTAACAGATTTTTTATTGTTGTAATACAAGTATAAAGGGAGATTTGGAAATGTACATGGTATATTAGTTCATCCTTTAATTTCAGCTTTCCCCTATTTATTTTGCTAACAGTACCATCAGTAAAAATAGTCTCATATTTGAAAATATCTTCTAAAAAGTATAGAACAGCATCATCCCTAAAAAGTGCTTACTCGGCACTAGGAACGATGCTGCCACTGTTCTTAGGGTTTAGTATCCTATAAAAAACATTTACAATGACACAATTGGGGTTCAACAAAAAAATAACAGTAGCAACCCTTTATCTAACATTAAAACTCTATAAAAAATAAATTTTCTTTTCTAGTAAGTTAAATTTAATGTATAATTATTGTCGTTTGTAAGTCAGGATCTATGACTGTAAAATTTTATATTATAGTAACTTGTAATAAAATAAACTCCGTAAGATACATATTGTGATTAGTTTACAATAAATATTAAATTTAGACATAATTACATTATTTTACTTACATTAGAAGCTTTAAAAAGATATTGAATTGATTTATCCTTGTGTTTTCTTTAATTTTACATTTGATTTGTATCCTGTTTTACAATCTGGAACGACGTAAATCTTGCTTTGATGTTTTTTGTCACTCATGTTACTTGTACTCGGGTACTTTTTTCACATTATTTTGATTCTTTTCACTATTTTTTTAAAAAATCAATTCATTTTACATTGACTTACATAGAAAATTTACACTACATGCCAACTACAGTCAATTTCGCGAACTTTATAAAAAGGACGGAAATTTGAAATTTGACCATTGCCGATTCGCCTCCTTCTCACTAGTCTTCATAATAATGTTTTAACGATGTTTTAGAATTTTCGTTTCATATCTTATTAAAATAAACTTGTGAAAAAATTACCAAAAAATCCAAAGGTTGGAAATATTTTACAAGCGATTTGCCTAAAAAACAAAAATACAAACATTGTTCCCGAAGTGTTTTTGAACAAATATCCAGGATGTTGATTTAACTGTGTGTCTTCTATGCTGAAGGTCAACTACTTTTCCGGACTAGTCCAAAAATTACTTTTCATAAAAAGTCCTATCTCTAATATGCATTACAAAAGGCGGTAAAACAAATATTAAAATAGCAGTTATCTCAGTCATCTGAATTTACAAAAAGTGGCTCCAACTTAAGGCAACAGTTGAAAACGCACCTAATCACAAATGGACTGCTTTACACATTACTTGACTAAGCGACATCCTATCGTTTTTTTGAGATTTTTATGCCACCTAGTAGTAAAATACATAAACTACAATTTCTTTAAAATATTAAGCTGAGCGCCAATCAAGTTATAGAATCAAATCCGATTTGCATTATGTGCCTAAGAGCCAACTAAAAATACCCATTATGTAAAAAGTGACAACTGAAAAAGTGTTTTTTTGCTTATGGCAGCTGTCACGAGTGTTCTGTGAAAAAAATAAGCAGGCACCAAATAACTTACATTTGTTAAAGCATGTCTATAAAAAATCAACTTAATCTGATAAATCATACCTTTTTGAAGACCTGAAAATTTATAATGCGTTTTTATCCACATTGTTCACCTGTCGCTTAATCGTGATTTATAATGCGATCCAACTGAGAATCGTTACATATCTTGGAAACCAATCACGTTTAATTACTGTTTATTAAAGTATTTTACTCAAAACTATTTTCTCTAAATGCTACCTGTTTCCGTTAGCGAAAGTCAGGTCAAAGCGTTGAGTGGATATAAAACACTAACGCCAGTTTGTATTAAAATTCCGATATTGTCTGCATTTTTTTTGTAAAAATAGAAATAGGTACTGTATCGCGAAAGCAGTCTATCTTTCTTGTTTACTCCTTGCCCGCCGTATGAAGTCTAGCGTTAACCATATAGAGACAAACGCACCGCTTCGAGAAGTTACCGGATAGATCCCTTTGCGGCGTATGAACCATAGAGAGGCAGTTTTCGATCGTTCTGGAAAGCCGAGAGTGTTCTGATACAGAGCTGGCTTTATATAAATAGCTCGAGTTTGTCGACGGGAACAAGATTGAATTTAAGTGTTGGACAGAAAAGATAAATTCTAATAAATAAATTAGAATTGTGAGTTATAATAGTGCCTAAGTATTATATAAATTAATTAGTACGTTATAAATAAATTGTAAATAAACTATTTTAAATAAGTAAACTAAAAACAAATTAAACAAACGTTACAGTATGATTGACACCGAGATTTTAAAAATATTGCAAATATTTCAAAAAAATGGGTAAATAGTTCCAAAAATGAACACCTACAATTTCAAAAACAATAAATAATAAAGGGATTGGTTAAAAAATACTACATTTGTTTTTGTACATAATTTTTAATTGGAAAACGTAAGTTTTGTGAAGACCAATTTTGTTACGGTACTTTTCGTTTCATATGTAATTTTCAAAACATACGATCTACAAAAATTCGATAAAGTATTCAGTGCAAAACAAGCAAACCACTCGAATTGTATAGTATATTTCTACGAATCACTAGAGAATTTACGTTTTAAAAAGTAATTTAGAGGTTAATTCTGAATAATTTTTTAGTATGATTGATACTATTAGATAAGATTTGAGGGGTTACAAGTATGTAGTGCTTCCCTCCACATACTTAAACAATTTTGTTTTGCCATCCCTACCATTATGCTGGTTATAATAATTCTTGACAATACCCCATATCATTTCAATTGGGTTAAATGTACAATGATAAGGAGGTAACTGAATAACTGTAGGCCACATTGTTCTGCAAGTTGATCTACTTTATACATTTTTGGTGGTTTATTTCTAAAAACTGTTTCAATAAATCTTGTTTGTACATATTCTAATCAAATTGAATGTTGTGTTTTGTCAGTCAATCCTGATTTTCAGGAGTTGTCCAGGAATTATTGGGCGTTTTAAAAAATAATGAGCTGTGATAGGTAGCATTGTCCATAACAATCGTTGAAGTCTCATTTAAATTCATAAGTAACTGATTCTACCATATTAAAAAATTTGCTTCATTCATTTCCCCATGATTGTTGGGATTGTTACTATTTGATGAAAACAAAAGTTCTGCTCCATCAATAGAACCGTTTTCGTAACCAGCATGAAAAACAATGAATCTTTTTCCATTAACTCTTGTAGTTTTTACAATCCTTCTATCGTTATAGAGACAGATTTTTTGTACTTGTATATAACTTTTAAAAACCAAATCTGTTACTGGCATGATGAAGAAGTTCCATAAGACCCACGCCGGGATCATCTTTCTTCCCATTTAAATCCTATATTAGTTAACACTGTAAACAATCATCTTTTTCAGCCCGTAAACATTTCTCTTTGCATTAAAGTTTCATGTAATTTTGCAAAAGTTACTTGTTTCTTCTTATACATATTGTAAATCACATAACGAATGTAGTCAGAATTGAAAATTTCGGTTAGAGGTTTGAGATGTGGTCAACTTTTTGGAGGAGGACTTAATATATGGTTATTCTTTAATGCTTGGGAAATTGAGCTTACCGTCGAAATATTCAAATTCAACGCCGCTGCTATACGTTCTCTGGCTGTATTTATTGGTAATAAAGTGCCACCATTATCTCGTTCTTCTTCAAAATATTGTTACGCAGGTTTTTGGTATCTCAATTTATTTAAATTCAACTTTTACAATAACTCAATTCAACTGATAACATTAACATATAACGTCTATCATAAAACTGAAAACTGACGTCATGATCATCGGCTTATATCCAAGGCTTATATATCTTGCTTGACTCTTCTCGAACTGTCGTCTAGAATTTTCCTGACAGATAATCACATTTCCAGACATTTCTGGACCATTCTATCTTCTTTTACTCATACTTTTACTTATGACGACCGCAGCACACTGTAGGGCGATGAGTAAAATTCCACTTCTTTTTGTATTCGTACGTTTCCTATAACAGTTGCAGGCTACTGCGTAACAATATCTTATTAGAGACCCCACTAATTGTTTCGTAGGGCTGTTTAAATCATAAGGCATTTTAAAAATCAATAAATAAATTTGTTTATTAAACAAAAAATAATATTAGTGTTTGACAGTTCAATTATATGTCATAAAAAGAAATATTAATTTGGCAACTCTCCGTTACGTATACCAATTGCCCAATTTAAACTAAAAAGCAACAAATATGACTAACAGTAATGATTTATCTATTCAATTGACCTTTCCTATTATTTAATACTTTTGCATTATCCATGCGCGAAAAAGTGCGGGAATTTTGAATCTAGTAATGTTCCAAACACTTTTTGCTATCTCTCTTTTATCCTCGCCTTACAACTGTTGGGTTGGTTACGATTGCTTTAAACAACTGTCATCGATGCTATATAGTAGAGAGCCACTAAAACTTTTTTGGTACACATTTGCACAAGACTAAATTATAAAACATCGTTAATTCTTAACCAGTAGAAGATGGAAATACTTTGCTGCAATCGAAATAGCGGTGAAATGCCCTGTCAGCAAGCAAGGAGGTACTGTGAGCCTAATTTCAAGAAGGCGGCAGCAAACTTTTTTCTACTAACTTTCGATGTAAATAATAACTAAAAATTTCAATTTTGTGCTTCTATGACAGAATATTCTACAGAGGCTTTCTTAAAACGTCATCATCGAGGGCTCCATAGCTGAGCAGCAACTATTTCCTTTTTCTACAAGGTAATAATGAACAAAATATTTTTGTAATTTTACCTTTGACAAAATAGCACACCTAAAACTGTCACTAGCTACCATACCAATACTATCAAACGCAAAAATAAAATAATATTTGCCGATGTATAATCGGAACTCAGGGTAGGAAACGTAACAACAATACATATTTATGATTTTAAGTGGAAGTAGAATTCGCACATGAGTAATAGAGATCAGCAATAATGACTTAGCAGCTTCATATATGCCATTTATGCAGTGTGTTATCTATTTTACAAAACTATGACGTCGTTATTTTTTAAATGGAAAAAATGATCTTTTATATTAAAAAAAGTTAGTCCCTTTATATTAGTGATGGGGTTTTCATGAAAAGTAATTTTTGGACCAGTCCGACGAACATGTCCGGAAACGTGAAAAGTATTGAAAATGTAACATTTTAAAAATTCCTTTTAAAAATGTTATTTTGAATGTGTGAGATCCTGTATAAAAATAGTATTTGATTAATTTAAAATTTAATTATCACCGCACGCAATATTCCTAAGACAGGAAAATTTCGTGAAAGTGGGGGTCTAGTTGGTAGTCGATTTTCATATCGTTTCTTGAAATATCTCAGTAGAAATTATATACTTGCGTGCATAGAGCCCACTGTAAACTTTTAACTTTAACTATATGTTTTTTTAAATTATTAACCTTACTGTTAATTAATTATTAGACAACATTAAAGCATATTAAATTGTCTTTCAAACCGCATATTTTTTTTGATCTGATAATTTATAATTTAAAAAATAAAAAAAAATATAGTTAAAGTCAAAAGTTTACAGTGCGCCGATTTCTACGCTCGCAAGTGTATTTCTACTTTTTGTTAGTCAATTTAAATTTGTTCAATATGGTTTAGTAATTCTTTTTGTGTTGCTGGAATTACACATTGTATTATTTAATTTTTGTTAGAAATTTTAAAAAGTAGTTGTTTAAAAGTTTAATTTATATCTCATACAAGAGCCTCGTGAAAAACAGAATTTATTTTTTTTTAGGAAGCAGCTTCTTTCTTTCCTTCAAAGGAAGCGAATACAGGTAGCTTCTTTCTTTCAATTTAAATCAATAAAAAATTGACAACACAGTTTTTGCACGGCAGACTTGTGTCGATGTGCCAGAAAATCGAGGTTGGTGTTTAGGTTAGTGGAGCTAAAATTATATGAAGACTGTTGTTGTGGCATCAGATAGAAGGTTCTATATTTTCCGAAGATTGTGGTAACTAAAGTTCACGAGGCTAAACTATCTAATATTACATTACGATTGAGATTAAATCTTGTGTTGGTACCAGCCAAATAAAATCATATATGTTATTGGAAATTTCACAACAGTAAATTTTTGTGTAAATGTCATTTACAATAATTACTTAAATAAACAAATTCATTTATATATATGTTGAATCTTATTTTTAAAGGTTACAATAATTCTCTTTTTACTTAAATTATATATAAGTTTGAATTAATTGATAAACCTTAAGTTTAAAATTCTTACTAGCTTTCTATAAAATTAAAAAGATAATTATTGGCGCCTTTTCTTTCCTGAAAATTATTTCTCCAAAAGTGTCTATTAGAAAAGCCGAATTCACGACTGAGAAAACCATATGGTCAAAGTGCTCATTTCTTTTATTTGATTAAAGGTAAGTAACATTTGGTGTTAAATATCAAAGAACTAGTTTAAATTTCTTATAAGTGTTTTCAAAATTAACGAATTTTATTGCAAATTAACGCCGACTTATTACAAAAAGTCACAATGAAAAATAGTCGACCTTGGACATAGAAGACGCAGTTTAAAGTTTCTCCATCCTGGATTTTTCAAAAACAATATTTCTATTTTGTATTTTAGTTTTTCTAGACAAATCATTTGTAAAATACTCCCTCGCAACCTTTTTTGGTCATTTTCTCACGTTTTTATTTTAATAAGATATCAAACGAAAATTCGGAAACACCGTTAAAAACATATAAAAGTCAGTTATCATTCGTTATTTCTTTTAAACTATATTTTGCCTTTGTAAGACATTCAGACAAATCAGTTAATTTAATTTCGCACATGCGCAATACACTTTTCCACTTTTGAAAAGTGTGTGTTTGGACTAGTGAACTTTTTAGACTAGTCCGTCGGACTCGTCTGTGGACTTTTACAATACAATACAAATCCTAATTAATAATAATTACAAATTTTCTGTTTTTAAAAAAATTATACCAAATGACTTTACAGCTCCATGAAATAAAACAAGAAAATCTAAAATATGATGTAGTCACGAATACAGATAGAGTGCAAAGCGAGTTGTCAATGTTGTCACATCTTAATTACAGGTGTACTCTTAAAATAGGTACACATTTCATCTTCCATTTGGCTTTAAATAATCAAGTCTATATTCCGAATAGAATGTGTGAAATTTGTGGTGGAAAGAAGTCGACTCGCTTGTTCTTTGATCTATCAACGGATGAGTGAACTAAAATCATTGGTAAAGAAAGTAGACCGCGTACCTCGTATAATATTTGAAATTTTCGGCTTATATTTTAGTTCTCAATTTTCTTTGTTATTACATTGATTTGAGAATTGGTTTCAACGTGATTGTAATTGGTTTTTAATAGACTATTTGCTTGTGTCCATAAAAAAAAATCATTTTATTTTTTTTAGAAGAATTGTTTAAATTCCTTGTTATTGTTTGTTATTCGTAATTAGTCTTTTAAATATCAGAAAGTGATAAAATCATCACTTTTTTTTAATTCAAGTTTAAATTTCTCGCCTTCAGCATGGCCATAGTTTCGTTTCTTGTTAACATTTTCAAGCATTAACTTATGATGAAAAAAAAAAAAAATGCTATTAAAAATAACAGAGACCCGACCATATTAAATCATGATTAAGTAATAATCATTGCATAAAGTATCGGACATTAAAGTATAAAATGTTTCTCTGACAAATATGTGTACCGTGTTTTCTCCAATTCCTGTGTATATGTACAAATAAGGAAATAAATTTAATTATTTTTACTTACCCTAATAATAGGAGGTAAAAGGCCTACTGCATTCTGAGTCTCATTTTTGATACTCATTCCAACACCATTTCCACCTACTGCTCCTCCTCCCCCTCCTACTCCTGTCCCTCCCCCCTTATCCCGGGTTGTAGTTTTTCCTATTTCTTCAGTTTTATGTTTTCTTCCATTTGCTTTAAGCAATGATTCGTCCACATCGTGTGGACAGTAAGTTCTAGAGACTTTGAGACGCGTCTCGAAGTGTTCAAATGCAAATGTTTTTGTACATATTGGAAATTTGCTTTTTGATACCTGCAAAAAAACAATAGATTTTGATTTTTATCATTTGATAAACTATATTACTCTTCTTGGAGAATACGTAAAAATAATAAGGGGCAAATGGTATTTTTAAATTACTGTAGCAATTTTATACCATACCATACCTTATTGAACCGTTCTTGATTTTAGTTCATTATGAAACTCAGGATATTTGCTTTTTTGTAAACAGTCTGGGATTTTATGGGGAATTAAAACACAAATTTCCAAGTTTACAGCGACTCATTTGTCTGGAAATGATTAAAGACATCGATAGAAAAACATGCAAAGAATGTGAGTTTACCAAGAAGATTAAAATAGTTAAATTAAATAAAGAAAAACCTTCCATTTCACTATTTTTTAAATTAAATTACAGTTCGTGAAATATTTCCAGAGATATAAGCAGTCATTAATAAAATATAATATTCATGATGCCAACAAAGGTGAGAAGTAAGAGAAGGGATAAAGAGAAGAATTTTACGCAGACACAACTTATTTTTATCAATGAATAAATGTGTAAGCCGCTGCGCGCTTATAATACACAATAAATTTCCATGCCGGTGTAAGCCCTGTTGCCACTTCCAATTTAACACCACTAGGTTTTGGAATTTATTGAAAATTATTACATCTAATTTAGTGAAATTACGGGGGTTATGATTGACGACCTGTGTTATTTTTAACAGGTCTGTTATTTTATAAACACACAGAAATAACAACTTGTTCACAAATAACGTGTCTGTTAAAAATAACATTACTTGTCCATCATAACCCCGTAAATCTAATTTAGTTAAATTTAATATAACTATATACAAAATTTTTTGGGTTCAGTTGCAATAAAATAGGTTGAATTATTTTAGCTTTTTAAATAAATGTAAATAATTTTGTAAACAAAACGAGAATAATGAAATAGGCATATGACAACATATATTTCCTAATGCTAATGGACATTTACCATAATAACATATCTTTTAGGTTTTACATGTGGGTGCATTTAAAGATGCTCTGTAAATTAGGTCAAGTCAAGTTAAAACATTATTTAAATGATGTATCGAACAGAACTTTGTCTTACGAGTTGATAGAAATATTATTTAGTAGATGTAGAAGATTCTGCTAATGACATATTAAATAAAGCAAGAATTGGAAATGTCAACAAGATGTTAGAGCATAAATGGCTACACCAGCCATCAGCAACAAATATTTGTTGATTGTGTCAGTTAGGTTACGGTTAGGATGCGTTCAGATCTAGGGGGCAGAGATTATGCTTGATGAGAAATGATTCACATCATACATGTCCGGTTTCATAGTATCAAAATTGACTCCAGAAATGAAATAACGACCCTTTAGCAGATTGTGATAGGGGATGTCCTGGGTGCACTACTATCAAACCAAAACTAAGAAACACAAAATTGTTTCATACATTTTGGTAAAAAAATTGATCGCAGCTCTCGACAAGAAAGTTCATTGGATGGAAGACGATAATTTTAGTATTACTTATGACGTATGGAGTTACTACATACAGCCATTTATTAAGACTGGTTTTCTTTTACAGCAGTATAACAAGAGGCCTCATCACAGGTGACAACCATTCAAAATTTGAAATTTGAGTGTATACCACATCCACCCAAGCTTACAATGTCTTTGGTTCACTTAAAGAGATAATTAAGTGGTAGTAGGATATACGAATTATAACATAACAGCAAATGAGCGAAATAAACAGTTTTAATTTGCAACTTACCTTGCTAAACATTTTAGCTCCCTTGTCAACCCTGTATTCGCAAATATAAATATGTTCTGGTGAAGCACCAATCGGTCTGCCTTTACAGTACGTATTCAAGTCCACAACCCAACAGTGCGAAATAACCAGTTCTACCGGTACAGCTTCATAAAGAGGAACTCGCATTACTTCATTGGGGAAGAACCTAAAAAAAAGAATATTATTCAAAATGAGTTTAATATAAAATTATAATATATACAGGTTGTTTTCAAGACAAAACCGACATACATCAATGGGTTATAGGTAGTGTTGTGGATTTGAGCGGTCTAATAAATACAATAAAACAAACTAATAAAAATCAATATTTTATTCTCATACTAGGGTGAACTTGGCCAGTGCTACATGTTCAGATTGACAGTTCCCCAGTAGTGCATTTCAAAATTTATGTCAAGAAATGGCAAGTGCAAAAGCGCACTGGAATGGAGCGAGTGCACACTTGCAGAGCGACACTAGGTTGGCATTTTATCGGCGCGTGTGCAATTTGAACGCAGAATAATGATTCACCAAGTGCGCAATAACTCCGTGTCAGTGCTTGAAAATGCTATAATATTGATATGTAATATGTTTATATTGTTAGTTGCATATGATTAACTTCATTCTTTTATTGACAAATAGAAAATAATATTAATTTATTCTCAACGACTTTTATATTGCTTGTTAAAGTTATTTAGATTTCAAGTAAGTGGGTTATTTTGTCGTGTATTGTTTCAGTTATCTTGTGCTGATTTAGAATGTAAAAACAACATTATTACTAGGTTGTAAATTTAATTTAATTCTATTTTTATAAGTCAACCTGTTCTTCTTTGATATAAACTTTCAATAATAATGTATATAATTGATTTTAAAACCAAAAAGGTTTATTTTGAAATAATGTTTCATAATGTTCAACATATGCAAGTGGTTGCGTAAAGTAGATCATTTTGACACTTGCTGCGATTACAAAAAATGTTACTTTATATGTTAAAATTAGAAAAATAATAGTATAATAGCTAATTCAACTTCCAAATTTGATTGAGCGAGTTCTATAATCTAACTAAAAAACACTAACTGCATGTCACTTGTCATTATTAACCCACATTCTGACTGGTCGTTGCCAAGTACGGAAACATCTCTATTACATAATACTGTCAGAATATGCACTATGCAGAGGGTACAATCATTTAAATATGGATCCTAGACAGCAGTCCAACATAATAGAACCTGCACTTACGTTAATATGTCGATATAATAATCTGCCAACTAAATAATATGAACTAAAAAATGTGGCAACGAAGTATTTTCTGAAGATAATTGAACATTTGAATAATTATGCAGAAGTGCATCTAATCGCAATCTATCGCCAACTAAGTAAATGAACAGTTTTTGTTATATTATATTAGAAGTCCTAAGAAGTTTGACACAAACGAAAGTATAGTATGTCTAACCGACGTGTCGCTACTTTGTATTGGGTCCGTTCCCGACCATGTAATAAAATTTAAAACCTTAATAACTAGAAAATAAATAATAAGAAGGTTTATTCAGAACTATATTCTTAAAAAATGGCCCAAATTTTTGAACACACCCCATTTTATAAATTAGAACTTACAGCTGATTAAAGGTGCTATTTAACTTACACATGAGGTAACCCCGGAAAACCCCAACCACCATCAATAATACGATAATCCTCTGCGATTAAATCTGAACACCTTATCAACAGAAACCATGCAGATGAATGAAAAACTTACTTGATCTGCATGTAGAGACATTGTCTTGATATAACCCTGTATATTATTGTTTTATAACTAAAACCAATTAAACATTAATAAAATTTGTAACTTACTTTCTTGTAGGCTCATGGAAAGTTTCATGTGGTCTCAAATAATGATGTCCATAAGCTAACCGTTTTCCCGTCTTTTCTTCTTTCCACAACCTTTCGATTCTGAAAATATCTAATTCTGAGTATTCAATCTTTCCTATGGTGTCATAGGTATGTTTCTTGTTAGTTCCTTTAATAGGGATATCCCTTAACATGTAAACCGTATCGCCCTGTCGTAATTGAAGGTCACCTCTCATTAATGTCATGTAGTATCTGCAAATTAAAAGTACAAATTTTGTTTTATATCGAAAAAAAATCCAATTTGACAATTTTGAATATTAAAATTGTTAATTTATTTAAAGCGTAATAAACGTTCCTCAACGAAACTTGGTATGATATGACAGAATTTATACTGTTTGTAGTATTTGAAATTAAAAATTATAATCAAAAAACGAACTTTGAGTTATTAAGAGGAATAATACCCCACCTTCATTTTTAAATGAACAATGAACGCTGTATCTACATTTTTCAAGTGATTTAAAAGAAATTTTGAAGATACGTTTTACATAAAAAACTGTAAGTAGTGTTTAAAATTTTGCTTCTGAGTTGAATTTAAGAGATAAAAATAAAAACTTTACAAATTTAAATTTTTTTAAAAAACTATAAGAGTCGACAGGTAATGAAGCTACCTTCATATTCCTACAATTTCACAATTTCAAATATCTACTTTTTTGCGGTAGTGCATACGATTTTTTGAAAAATATGGCACTGATTGGAGCTGTTCCCTAGCGGCAACGTTTAAAGGTAAGGAAAATACACAACATACTGGTATTATTTTCGACGGAGCCATGCCAGTTTGAGCCGAGATTTGAGCATTTGCAAGTTTCCAATGGCGTGGTGTATTATTAGCTAATTATTTTTCTGTTTATTGTGCTTTTAAGCGCCTGCGCCCTTATAAATTTAATTATTTAAGTGTGTTTGTAAAATTATTATATCATTAAACTGTTTTTAGTGTCATATAATTATTTTTGTGTGGTTAACTGAGCTTTTTCATGCCAATATAATATTATTATTGTTTGCGTTAGTCGACTGCAACTTTTATTAAAAGATGGGAAATAAAAGAAATCTTATCGCTAAAAAGTCAAGTTACGATTTTCTGAATATTCTCTTATAAGTAGGTTATACAAAGTACCTATCGGCATATTTGAAAAATTAATTACATTTTTTTAGGAAAGCAATACAGGCTAATTGCAGCTCAATTTGGAAGAATAAGTAAATTCGTTATTGGTTCTGGACCGCTTATGTTATGAATCGGGCATGCGTTCAAAATATAAATTAGTAGTTTCGAATCAGTTCTGGATTCTTTCTGCGAATGAAGCTATATTTGATTTCAGTGTAATTTCCTATGAATTATTCATAAGCTTTTTCTTGAATATTCAAATGATCTTTTTTTGTCTAGTTTTAAATGGAAGTTTATTCAAAAATCGTTCTAGTTAAGTGAGATATTCTAAAACAAAAAAAAAACAAACTTAATATATGTTTAAAAACTGAAAATTCTCCTTATATTTATATTCAAAAATCAAGTTTTTCTTAGTACCTTGTTGATACTTAAAAAAAAAACTGTGATTTACAAGTTTTTAAACTACATTATATACGCTGTATGATGAAAATTGGGCAAACATTTATTTTTGATTATTATTAGCCAAAAGCCTAAGTTTTTTTAATTGTTTCAAATAAAAATTTTCTCAGAAGTAATAAGCGATATCGTGGGCGTATAAGGAAAAACCACTAGTGGTTTTCAGAAAAATAGATTTGAATATTTTTTCAATATATATTAGGGAGTGGAAAAAAATGAAAATGAACACGTTTTTATTGTTATTAAATTGACAGTAGTTATGGACTTTTTTAATAAAATATAACCAATACTGGACTTAATTGTTTCAGTTATCACGAATGTGCAAAAAATTAACTTGGTAAATTTTCCTTGTACGCCCACAATATAAATAAGATAAAATAAAGGTATGTTCCAATAACTATCAAAAACAAAACATAAATCAAAATCACTGTCCACAGCTCGGTATATAATTAAGATGTCTTGCATAAGATATAATTGGACGGTATTATGCATAAACGATCCAATCCTCAAATATCTAAAATATCAGAAAAACTATTCAAAAAATAACTATATTTATTTTGCAATAAATATCCAATCTATTTTATCATTAGTTATATTAAAAATATACTACTTGAAATAGATTGTTGATGGTGTATTTTTAAATAAACACTACATTAACACTTTGAAAGTTTTTGTTAATATTCTTAGCACGGGGGTTTATATCATATGCAAAATATGCCAACCTGTTTACTGCGCAGACAACCCGGCGCTTGGGTGCTCTGAAGTCCGTTTTACAATAACAAAATTGTATTAAAATGTAAAGCACACTGAATAATCTAATAACATCTCGTTTGGTAACACAAAAAAGTATTAATTCAACAATTTTAATTTATATATTCCAATAAATTAAAAAATCATGCCTTCACTTAGTTATTTGTACAATGTTAACCAGTCTTTCTGTCCGCTGCATGCCCACTACCACAAATGACGGGCGCGCACTGTCAACAAAAAAACAATATGGTACGGTTGTCGGCGAAAACATGTGAGTGAGAGTATTTTTATTTAGTTTAGTATTAGATATGTTATTTATAGAATTATTTAAAATTAAGTAAAGGTATTTTGATGCTTTAACGAGTCTTTACCAAGGAAAATTCATTATAAATACATAATTTCCAATTGTTTATAGTACATTTTATATGTCCATTTCAAACGTAAATTTTAAGAACAAATATTTTTTTTTAATTTTCCTTCTGATATTGATCAAAGAAAGAAATGGTGCTACATTTTAAACATTCCACTTGAAACCCCAGTGAATGACATTTTTATCTTTCATCGTGCTTGAAACCAATCAAATTATGAGATAATTTTGATAAAAAATCAATTAAAATCGTTCAAGAGTAAGACTGCTATGATTTTCTTTGCCTTTAGCTCCCTCAAAACCAGATACAGCAAAGATAATAGTACTTAGTAATGTTATCACACCTCCAAACAGATTAACCTGTGTTACATTTTAATATTATAGATCAAAATTTCAAAGACGGTCAGTCATCAAATGAATTTGAATATTACCTAAGAAGAAACAACGTTTCGATAATGGATTTTTAAGAAAGAAAGAAAAAACTGCAGTCAAAACTTCAGAATCAAAGATATTTCAACAATTTAATTTGAAACTATTATAATGATAGTAGGTTTGTTCAGGTTTCTTTAAAACTCGATGCAAACCATCCGAGAACCAGTGGAACAATTCAATTCAAAATTATTCGTTGCATACAACTATTAAACTAGCCACTGGTCAACTAGTCCTCTGATAGTTCTCAATGTATTTTTGAAGAACCCAAACAGACCTAGTATGGGGGCTGCGGCAATGTTCTGAAGACCAAGAAGATAAAATTGATTGAAGTAACTGTATTTAATGTTTTTTCTGTTTCAATTTATATGGATGGTTGCTTTTATCTTATTTCCCAAGATTCCAGATTTTTTTTGTTCATTGAGAAAATTTATTAGGCATTAGTTTTTCAAATAAAGTACATGAATTATTTGTTTTGCAATTTCTGGTTTTTATTATTTTAACTAAAGATAGTTAACGTACGTAAATAATTATGTAATGTTTGTGATATTAGAGTAACTTTCTTGTAAATAGCTCGTTAACTAAGAAAGATACAAAGTTCATTTCGCTATAAAAAAAAATTTAAAATGTTTAGTTCTTTTTGATTTTAAGATCGATAAAACAAGTTTCTTTATGTCAAAAAAAATACGGGGGGTTAAAAGGTACCCAACCCCCCCAACTTTTTTTAAAGAGGCCGCTTTAAATTTTTTTTTCCTTTGAATATTGGGCCTTCAAATCTACAGCACTGGCAAAAATTTCAAAGAAAAAATGGCAACAGCAAAGTTTATACAAAAAAAAAAAAACCTTTTTTTTAATGTTAGTTTAACGTCCTGTAACTTTGTTAGGAGCCAGTTTTTGATAAAGGTAAATATAGCCAACTCTACTTATTTTTTGGTAATCTATCTGAGGAAAAATTTATGACATACCTTTTTGAAACACCCTGTATATTTGAAATTCGAAATAATAGTTATGACGTAGCAGTGTCCTTCTTATTGTAATCGAACTTAAACGGATTTTCGCGACCGAACTGAAAACTGATTGGGTGGATTTGTGATTTGGTAATTTGGTTTTGAATTTTAATTCATTAAAATATGGGAAAATTTTCCACATGTACTAAAAAGTGTAATCCAGAATGGGAGAATTAAACATTATTTAAAGATATTTGTTATAGTTGTTTTTAACATCAAGAAAAACTACCATTTCCATTTATTAGTTATTCCCATGAATACTAGCAAACAAAATTTGTTAATTAACTAGTTTAAACCACATAAATAAACATATTTTTTGTCATTAAAGTACCCCTTATAATAAAAATCAGGTGCATTAAAATTCTTATAGTGTGTTCCATAAGTTGGATCCATATAGGATTTTTTTTAATATTACGATTTGAATAATAGCCCATATTAAGGAGGTCCTTTCTCCACCAATGTTAAATAAAAAATCTGATGTGTCCAACACATGACTTTCCTATGTAGTTATTACAGGCTTTTTCCGTTTATTGTGTACAACCTATTGCAGCATCTCTATAAATTTTTAGAGGATAAACTAAATATATACATTGTCTACATACATCTACCGCGAAACATTTTTCTATAGATATTCATTGAAAATGAAAATACTGAAAAATTTAAATTTAGCACTTTTCCTACAATTTTTCCATTACGGTCCATTTAAAAAAAATCATGTATGAACAAATATTATAGAGATCGATATCGCAAACAACTTTTATTTCAACAATTTTCAGAAAAATCAGAATTTTGCACATTTTGTCAAATTTCTCGAATACGGACCATTTCAGGAAATTTTTACATAAGGCAAAAATTATAGATAATAATATTAGAAGTAACTTTTATTTAAACAATTTTCTTCTCCAAACATAAATAACAGATATATTCCATAAAATATATAAACGGCCTCCCATAAAGTACCCCCCCAGATGTTCCGACTTTGTTCAAAATCTAATCATTTCACGTCAGGCCGAAATAAAACTTAAGTTTAAAATTTATTGATTTTTTCTTTATCCGTTTTTGAGTTTTCTTCAAATTTCGAAAT